CTTCTCAATGGTGCTATTCAAGTAGATATGGTGGAACTAATTAAATTTAAATTCATGGCTTTCCTTTAGCTAGTATTGAGTTTTGGTAACCTCAAATTATGAAAACACTTGATAATCTACCTTTTCATAATAAGCTAGTTAGATCTATTTTTGAGTATTAAGCTAGTTTGTCAAATGTTTCTTCAACTCTTAATTCTTACTTTACCGTCTCTATTTGAAGATTATTTACTTTTTATAATCCAAAATTTACTCCTGGAGGAGCAATTGCCTTGAAATTTTATTAACCATTTTCAAAAGGGAATAAAAAAAGATTGCAGGGGAGGACATTTACTTGCTGATTGCCTACATGTTCATTTTCAATCAATAAATAAGGAATATCCAATTGAGGATACATTTTATTTTGTGAAAATTGGATTAGTGGGGATATGTTTATATAAATTGCTAAAAGCTTAGCTATTTTCATTTTTTTTAGGGATAGGAGATTGGACTTTTACAACTACACTAGCTGGTTTCACTTTGTCTTATTATTAATAAGAGTTTAAGGTGGCCGCTTAAAATTAAGAATATTCAGGGATTATAAGAAATTAATGATTTTATATTTGATTTTTTTGTTCAAATAATAAATAAATCAATATATACTTTCTTTGAATGATAAATGTTACAAATGACAGAAAAAGATAAAATGAAATAGTAGAGTTGACAATTGAGCAATAAATAGATTACCTGGTAGATGAAGTAAAAGAGCAAGAATGCAAAACACATGATAAGAGAAAACAATATTATAACTCTCTCCCAAGAAAACACTCTGAAGATCCTTGGCAGTTGCACTACAATGAATGGAATCCCAGATAGAACCATGATCCTTGCAGTGTAGCTAGTTTTTAAATCAGTTGTTATGCCTGAACCTGCAAAATGAAAAATTTTGTTTTCCGTTATATTAACAGGATCAGAATCCTTGCTTGCACTAGGGTTGGGAGGTGTTATGGTTTGGGGGATGGGATACCCTGTTGTGGAATTGGGATTTTCTGCCAATAAAACACATTTCAACACTCTACCAACTTGATCTGACACCACACATCTCACTATAAAATTGGGACCTACCATAAAAATAGAACCTACCATGCATGAGATGTGTGGTATATTCTGTTGGCATGTGATACAGATTCCCCATTGTGTAGCCCATGGAGGCAAAAGAAAAGAAAAAGGTTTGTTGCAAAAAGGCCATAAATAGTAGTTAAAACAGAGTATTAAGTGTCATAATTATAATCATTTAGGAGAGAGGCCAAACACAACTTTCATCCATAATTAATTACTACTTAGACTTTCCGTGTTCAAAGGCACAATGGCACATGGAGTCCTTCCTTATCTTATGTTACATGTTGAAAATTTATAGACTAAATCATAAATATTCACTACAAAACGAAGTTATAAAAAAGGCTAGAGCCTTAGAAGACGATGAGGCGGTAGAATTCCTTAAAAAGTGATAGCATTGAATACCTTATTTAATGTACCATTTTCTAAATTGTCTATTTGTTTGCAGTGCAATTTCATTTGTAATAGTAAAAACAAATGAAAGTGCAAATAAGAATAATGCAAATTCCGATTCACTTTTGCTTTGGGTTTCGCTTTATTTTGCTTCAAGTTTTATTTTATTTCATCTGCAAYAAAGCTGAAATGAAAATAAATCAGAATTTGCACCGGTCCAAATGAAATTGCAGTGCAAACAAGTCAGGCCTAAAGGACAAAAATTTTGAGAATCAATAATGATAATTACTAAATTGAATAGGAAAGACCTGTAGAAATCAGGCCTTGTGTTAGTTTTGTATGAGATAAAATAGACAAAAGAAGGAAAAAATGTTCAGGAGACTTAAGAGATAGACATGCTTTTTATATCCCCTGTTTGTTTTTGTTTACCGGTTTTTCCTAAAGAGACACGACTGTAAATAAGACATTATTTTCCACTTAAGCAACGGGAAAATTAATGGCATAAAATGCGCTAATCTTCATATTCCACAATCCACATTTGCTTGCTTTGGAAGCGAAAGARAGGAATGTAGCAAGTAGCAGATTAGTCATTAAGGGCCCGCTTCGTTTATGGGAATAGGAGCTTGAAATTGGAATCCGAATGATTCATTTCAACTCTAACTGTTTGGTTGGGTGGAATCAGAATTCGATTCCCAATATTCCTGCTAAAATGGCATTCCCCATTTGAGGGAATAGTCATTCACTCCCCCTCCCTTGGGATGAGAATCTCATTCTAGGCAATTCTGATTCTCATATGAACTAAATACCATTCTGATTCTTATTCCAATTCTGATGGCAAACCAAACAGACCCTAGAGATGTTTATTAAGGAGATGTTTGACATCGATTCCGATTTCCCAAGAATTGATGCCACGTGGGATCCACATCAGCAATTTAGAAATCAGTATTTTTTTTTTTTTTTATTTGGTTGATCGATTATGTAGATTTCTGAGAAATTGATCCGTAAAATCGGACCTGACTGAGGAATCACCACTTTCGCTGATTTCTCAATTTTCTTCTGAATTTTTAAAAATCAGGTGTGAAGAATCACATCAATGCCAGACATCACCAAAGTCGCTACATGAGTAATGTAAAAGAACAAGATATATAGGTGGCATTCTGGTATATACCAAGAAGATCAAAGTGAAAGTAGTGAAAAGAAAGAAAACAAACCAGTTAAGCATCTTAATTGTCTTTTGCACTGCAAGTCTTTTGAAGCCGAACTCTGCAAATCTTCAGTGGCCGAACACTCTGGCTCCGACAATTTGTGCTTGCCAACAATAACGCAAGTTCCCCATACAATTGTTAGATGCAATACGGTTGAGCCCACAAGCAGGCCAACTCCTGTCAAGACATTCTTCTGAGCTATCTCTTTGCTATTAGAAAGTCCAGACACTGGAAATACACATCAAAAGAGATACATCAGATACAGTATTACGTGTTCGAAATGCTTAATTCATTGAAGAATATTGGGCTTCGTTGTAACTCTGGCCCACCAAGCTCGGTTCATTCAGATATAAGGATGCAGCATTATGGCCTATTGGACCTAAAAAGAAAAGCCCAGGCTCACCCTGATCAACAAAATGACCTTAAATTTAGGGTTGGTCCCATCCCATAGGCCTAAACGTGAAGCCCAAGGCAGATCAATGGTGGTCGAGACTCWGAAACCTATTGTACGAAATTCAATGAGTCCATTATGATTACTAGTAGAATAAAGAAAAAAACACTTTTTGGGGAGCAAGAATTAGCTGAACGCCTTGGTTGTATTTTATTACAGGCGTCGAACATTACCGTTGGTTCCACAGCTGAGCAGCAAATCGGGCCATGCCGCCCCGGCCCGACATTATCATTGGTTCCACAGCTGAGCAGTTGATCTTGGCTCAAATAAAACCGAGATTAACTGAAAGTGATGGTTATTCAGTAAGCTATAAAACCAAGGTTTAAAGTAGCCGATACATATTGTACCGATGGCTTATCGATAATCCCTTCAGGAATTGTATCGGGTCAGTCACCGAATTATAGAATAATCGGGCCTTAAATCAATTTCTCGGAATCGGTTTCAAAAATATAAATAAATAAAACTTAAAAAAATTGTACTTATACAGCATATCGGCTGTATTGATATTTAGAATTGTGTGAAATCAATGATAGTGTTTTATGCCAATATATGGGATCTGCAGCTTTTACATAGGGCATATAAATTTATTATTAGCATGGACCACTATCATTGATTTCACAGCCCGCTGAACAGCCATCTTTGAAAATTCAGCTAAGCTAGCTCTGGCCTCAGCTGCTTTGAAGCGTTCTGYATAAGTAATTCAAAGAGCCGAAACAGACAGCTCTTCGAAGTTCAAAATTTCAAATGACGACTGACAACTGACATGAGTGAACCAATTTGGGTTCTCCCGATTTTTTCACATGCAGCTCATGGGTTGTCTGTGTGGGGTCTACCTCTGAAAGCCGGAAGCTGCTACGCTTCGGCCCTCCCAAAAGGGCGCATAATGATATTTGAATAATCAGAATAACTAACACCATTATATTTTATCTCTAAACAGCAGTCGCAAGAGTAGGATTAGTATCCTCTTCAAGAAATTGTCCATTTTCCTTCACTTTATGTGCATCCAAACAGAGCTTTAAAGGAAGGTCTAAATGCCTTACTGCAGACTAACAAGTTTAAGAATATGGAGCTACCGAGCTAGTACACGAAATACTGCCTAAAATTTTCGTTTGTTCTCTCTGAGGTCTGAACCAATCTCACCTCTCAAATCAATTCAGGGTCCGTGTAGTAAGAATCTCAAAATTGGAATTGGAATTGAAATCTTCCAAAATTAGAATTAAAATGGTTAATTCCCATAGTCTGTTTGGTTCATACAAGAATGAGAATAGAAATTAAAATAAGCAGGAATAGAATTTCATTCCCAAGGGAGGGGCAGAGAATGGCCTATCCCTCAAATGAGGGAATGCCATTCCAACAGGTTCCTGGAAATGGGATTCCAATTCCACCTAATCAAACAGCTGAAATCGGAATAACCCATTCCAATTCCGATTTCAGACTCCTATTCCTACAAACCAAACGGCCAAACGGACCCTCAATTCAATTCATCCTTAATCCGGACTATAAGGGGTCAACTACACTCTACACCTGTCTCGTCCCACCATTTTACTCTTTCAAGGGCCAGGTTCTTGAGTCAAATTATAAGTTTTAAAATGATTTTTGAGAGACGAGCATTTGAAAGTTGAAACCCATTTGTGACCAGTCATCCATTTTTGTGTTTTTTACAGAAAAGAAGGCGAATTAGGAGCTTACCAAGAAGAATCATGGACTCCGGCAGTGTGCCAAGAATGTGAAAAAAAGAGGCACCATAGACTCCCTCGCCAAGGATCTCGAAGAGGAGCTTGCTCCCAGATGACAGATACTTTTCTCCAATAAACAACATGTATTCATAAACCACAACCAGGAACAGATGCCCCGCAAGGTTTTCTGTGCAGGGCAAGAAGCCATACATATGCTCGCAGGCTTCCGACGACGACGGTTCCTGGCTTTTCAGTAGTAGCATGGGAGACTCATCATCCATCCCATCCGAAACCAGTTGGGAAGAACTCCTGTATCTAAGGAATCGGCCATTAACGTTGACGACCGCCTGCAACAGAAGAACAAAAACTAAAATCTGGGTCTTCCCCATCTCAATTTCTTTCAGCTACAAGCTAACTACAAAGAAAGGATGAAGCTGCTGCAGCAAATCAGGAACCAGCTTGCAGAGAAGTTAGTGCATCTGCAGAAGGGTTTAGTTCAGCCCCTGTCAGTCTGTGAATTTAATATAAGCTTGAAGCCTTGAACGGTTAATGCTTTTAAAGAGTTTGGAACGTAAAAGATCAAGGTCTCTGTGAACGAGTTTTGGTCTGCGATACTCCATTACAATTAACAAATATTATAGTAATAGTTTAAAGATTAAAGAATGAAGACAATTCCAAGCTCTTGAAATCGTCGATCCAGGTGTCGACCAACGACCATGTCGCTTTGTCATTATCTATTCAATTTCGTACGTGGAAATTTCTATGTTTGCACGCTTAAGGCTTCAAACCTTACAAGCCTCACCGATTCCTGCATGTTTACACGCAAAGATTTCTTCAGACAACGTCCATGAAAAATGTTAGGTCTGGGCTACGTGAAACTTAGGTTAAGGCCTGGATTAAGGTAGATTACGGGATTTGGATTTGGTTGCGGAATTATTTATTGGAATTTTCTCTAGTTCGCAAACATCCCAGTTCCGTACTTGGGGTTCCTTATTCGGCATGGCGTGGAATTTGGAAAAATAGGGTTCAGATCTGCTAGTAATCATAATAGTCGCACATCTGGAACATCTCCCGGAGATGTTGGTAGTAGATCCCTGTTGGGAAAAATGAGGTGAATTGGGAAATTACACCCCTGGGGGAGACGGGAGAGGGGAGGGTTAATGCCATTGTTTTCAATCCATCCTAGCGGGTTAAACTGTTCAAACCGTCACTCGAGCATGATTTCAGGTCTGGTTCTAGTAAAATTCTTGAATAGGTCAAAAACTCTTTAACCTGGGTGATTGATTATTAATCTGTTCGATGTGGTGTCTGAGTCATGGATTGCATACTAAATGCATATACAAATTTTTTGAAGTTATAAATTGAAGTTTTGATGTTTAATTGGGGTGAATCTTTTTTTTTAATTTTGGGTAAATTTTCAACATCTTTACATTCTAAGGAGATCACATTGTGCATTGGGAACATCTCCCTACTTGTCACAGGAGATGTTYTCAATACATAGTTGTGATGTGTTGTAGGCACCTTGTTCYGCTATTTTTATGAAGAGCCATTTTTGGCCCCAAATTATAATTTTTAATGTTTTTACAAATAAAAAATTAAATATTAAATTAAAAAATATAAATTAATATAAAATAATACATATATTACATGTAAAATATAATTATATATTATTTATTGATAAAATATGGCTATATATAATACTAATATGGCATGATCTAACCTATGACCCATAGGCAAAAACAGTGAGATTGGCTTCCATCAAGGCAAACCTTTTGCAACCTTGCAAATATGCCCACAATGTTCTCACAGCCTTTTGGAACCTTGCATTGGGAATATCTTCCTGTGAAATAAAGCATATAAGTACGGAGGTATTCTCAATGCAAAGAAGTAAAGGCCACTCAAATGGGCTTTGCCCTGACTGAATCCGGTTTCAAAAACARTTTAGCCATTAGGTTAGTTTTTAAAACATTGAGTTCAGGCTGGAGTAGGAAGAACTGATCCACCACAAAGCCCCATTTTTTTTTCTATAGTATCCACACCACAGTGCCCCATATCTTGAGTTTGGCTTTGATTAGGGCAAAACTCGTTCGAGCAGTTTTACAGCCTTACATTGAGAATATCTCCATACTTATGTGCTTTATTTGATGAAGAAATATTCCCAATGCAAGGTTGCAAAAGGTGATTGGAACGGTGTCGGCACCGGCTTGCCCTATGGAAGCCAATCTTCCATATCCTAGTCTAGAGTTAATAATTTTATGTATTTTGTGTGAAAAATAATTACTTACACCAATACATCGTTTTCTTTAAGGAAAGGTCTTTGTCGTTGGCTTAAGTAATGTTCTTTTTCAATAATTTCCACCTTATTTCTTCAACACGGAGGGAGGGATGATATGGTCTATATAGATGATCATACATGTATTTCTCTTGACGGGCCACGTGTTCAATTTGCCAATCCACGTCAGAAATCATACATGTATTTCTCATATATTTAATTTTTGGGTATTTTCCTATTCAAAGCTTCCATTCTTATTTTAAGAATGGCCCACAGAAAGGGCTTATCTAAATTATTATACTCATAGGTCATGGTTAGAAAATTTAGGGTCAGTTTGGTTTTCAGTTGGAATTGGAATTATATTATAAATCGGATTGGTCTATTCTCATAGTTTATTTGATTCAAGAATTGGAATTAAAATTAGAATAAGTCGGAATGAAATTTCATTCAAAAAAATTWAAAAAAAAGAATAGCCATTTCCTCATGCCATTCCAGCAAAAATGGAAATAAGATGCTGATCTGTCCAACCAAACGGTTAGTAAGAAATCAGAATAGACCTTTATTCCTCAAACCAAACAGGCACTTATTTCAAAATTAAACCCACCAAAAACACCAACCTCATACCAATATTCATGGGAAATGTTCTCAGTACACCCACGGTGGGATGTGGCTGTGAAGTGCACTCTGTGAGAAGCACATCGCAAATCCTATACGCCACGGTTCACGTCGTAAAGATGATGGTACTGGAATTCACCACGTCATTAGTCCATCGTGGGGATCACACACAACTGAACTGCCAGTGCGGTGGTGCCCACATAAACTTTAGAGGTGGAGTAGCGTGACTGACTTCATTATTACGATTAAAACTGCATACGACTTTGGGATTTGGACTCGTTCCCGCATACTATAATGGTAGATTGCTCAGGAATGGTGGAATGGTGGGCGCTCAAAAGAGGCGCAGTAACCGTACCATAATCTAGGGAGATTTCAGATACGCTCTCATCATTAAGCGCGCCTCACGCGCACATCCAACCGTCTATTAAGAATATTTCCCGTACTTATCACGGGAGATGCTTTCGATGTACGATCGGATGTGTTTGCAGGTCGCGCTAGGTAGGAAGACGACCATTTCTATTTGACTTTTGTTTTTGATAACAACCGGTTCTATTTGACTTGAACCCAGATAATCGGATAATCGGACAACCCTATCGGACTTGGAAAAGCAAAAACCGATATGGCAACCCATCAGGCCATCACACAGCCACGGCGAGTAAATTTAACGCGAACAAATGTTTCTGTACAAATAAACGGGGTTATTGGGTATTTTGCCCTTACGTGATCCCAGGGCTCTACAATTACAATGGACGCAACCCGTGACACTAGCATTGCTACAATGATTTTAAAAGGCTAAAAATTCTAATATAAATAAATAAATGGGTGATGATCAATTCAAGGTCTACTACTTTTAACATTTGAATGGTTCAGAATTATGACCATTTAGAGTTGTAATGTACAAGCAAAAATCTTGAACCACAAATTCAGTATTCCAAACCTATTAACCAAATTAACAATTCTCCACTTACTTTAATATATATTACCACGTTTTATTTATGAATTATCTTACTTTATTATTATTATTATTATTATTATTAAGCAATATTCTCACATATTTCCATCAAACAAGAAGCAATTCATTAAAAGAAAATTTAAAAAAAGCATTCCCTGGTAAAATTTATATGAAGAATGATGTGTGTTATCACATATAATATAAATATAAATTGTATATATGATAAGCAATGCTAATTAAAAAAAGCATTCCCTGTAATTGTATGTGTGTTATCACATACCTACGGCTTGGACTAAGCTTGGATTGGGCTGCACCGCTACAGTTGTTCTTGGGCTAGCCCTAAACCCAGCCAATCCCGCTCAAAATGCACGGCCTTTTCCACGAAGACTCTGGGCTAATATCTCTATCATTGATTTTGATTCCAAAATCAGCTGATTTACTCTCATAGCCATGTCCACCTCTACCTTGAAAGCTTTTAGTTCAGACCCAATGATCTTTGTTGGATGCCTGGATGGTGGTGTACCCATTGTTGCACCCTCCTACTCCTTTTCCTTCTCCGCCTCGTGTTTTAGGTACAAGACGCATCCAGCTAAAAGGTAGAGATGCTTAGGTTATGTTTGGTTTGAAGGAAAATGTAGGGAAAGGAAAGGAAAGATAAGAAAACTTATACAAAGTTTGTAAAGATTTTTCTATCTTTCCCTACTTTTTCCTTGAAACCAAACACAGCCTAGAAAGTTGGATAGCTTAGTAGAGAGGCCGAAATGTGTCTGAGTTTTTAATTATTTCAGCCTTATAAATCTGTGTCAACTGTAAAGTGAAACAAAAAGCTTCTTTGTCATAGTTTTAGTCAATGTTGAGAGAATTGGACCGGGTATAGAACCAGAAATGGAGAAATTCATTGATTAGAGGTTCAATTGGGGCCAAATTGTGATGAATGCTATATATAATGACGGGGTCAAATTTGGTTTGACCCTAATTGAACCTATGCAGACGACTTTAGGTTTTTTCGGTTTTTGATGATCACCCCTATTGTTATGTTATGTCTAATAGTCTATGTAACCAAGCACAAGTGTGTGTGCACTCTTGCCCTTTCAGTCACCTAAATAAACATCTACCGCCCTTGATGTTAATTTCAAATTTTCAATTGTATATCATGATTGGCGCAATTTCTAGTTCAGTAGTTCCTGCTCCCATGTCTACAAAACATGCTACTAGCGTGTTCATTTGTGATTGGTTACACAACCTGATGTAGGGTGATCTAACCCAGCCCACGAGCGCTAGAACAGGGAACAAGATCCACTACAGTAGGGGTTACCCTGCCCCCATCGTATGGAGTCAACCGCGACACGCTCACATTGAAGGGATGAGAGATCCATCATATAGATAGCCGAACCCTATAAGTAGGTAGGGCAAAATTTCAAAATTTTCTCTCTCCCATATGAGAATCACATTCCCTGTTTTAGAAAAATGCATTTTCAAGGATCAATCTTGAACCTTAAACCAGACCAGATCTGAAACCAAAAGGTAGGAGAGGGAAATACCTGATACGGAGTAGCAGTAACTCCCAATGAAGGTGTTCACGCCCAAGGAAAATGCCAAAGACTACTCCCACTGAAGATGACACAACGTAGGGTGGAGCAAAATCAGTAAGTGGTTCTTCAGCAAGAKCCGAACTCTTCAACAAGAATTCGATGAAGGGTGAGTGAGCACGACTTCAGATCAGTTTTTTCACC